GGGGGGGGGGGGAGGGGGGAGAAAGAAAAAAAAAAGGAAAACACGAAAAATGAACGCGAGGAAAGGTGAGAAAAGGCTTCGTCACGATGGCGTCTGCGAGAAAAGCGGGGGGTTGGGGCCGCCTTCGGCTCTCCGCCGGTCGTTTCCTTCGTCCGCCATCGTTTCAATTAGCGCGGAGAGATTTACGGCTTTGCATCTAGGAACACCTTGTCCCGCCGCCGGCAAGAGGTCTTCGAGATACCGGGAACTCGCTTCAGTTGAATTGAATCCGGACCGGCCGACAATAGCACGGCGAACGTAAGGTACTTAGGCGTCGCGCCCCTTCGTCGTCGACCCTTCATCGCGCACGCACGCTACCGGGATCCTTAAGGGAGGTTTTACGAGCGAGGCAGGCGCGAGCGCGCGATCTTTGTCGATAGGAGATTCTCGGAAGTTTATCTAAATAGTCGAGTTCGCGGAGGGAAGTCCTTATTGATGTTGGTGGAAATCGCAATAACAGCGAGGGCGGTGCGCAACGGAAGCAGTTAGCGGCACTCGCTTGATGATTGCACCGACTCAAAGATTACGACTCGAATGTTACAACACCGCGATTTAACCCTGACCGCATCATGTTAGGTCTAGAAGGCCTGCACGCATTCCTTTTCGCATCTCTCGTGTTTTATGTAATATGCCTTATTCTTATTTCTCGATTACTCAGACGACAAATTTAAGCAGTAAATAAAAATTGGTAATAAACTTAATGATTCATAAAAGACCAAAAACATGCAAAAGAACTACGATTTGACCAATTTTTGCGTGATGTAAATCTGAGAGACCTATGACGTTACTTCAGCGTTAAAATCGCGGATGTAACTCTCAGAGTTGAGCATCAATGAGAAATAAAGGAACCCGACTAATCATTTAAGTGTAACCACATATCCTTCCGGGTCGCCATTCAATTATTCATTCGACGCTAAATATATAATCATTAAACTCCACGGGCACGTTTGTCTGGCCGCATTTAGCACTAAGTATGTGCCGGGAATACCTGGCGAGAAAGAGAAGAAGAAGAAGAAGAAGAAGTGAAAATAGCTTAAGCAACGCTTTTAATGTCGTCAAGCGAGAGAGTCTGCGCGCCGAATCCCTATCTCCATTACGCAGGAAGCCTGTTTTTCGGCGAATTAACGTCCGGAGTTACCCCCTAGAATTCAACTCAACTCCTTTCGGAGGCAAGCAAAATATTTACTTCGATCTGACAAGTTCCAGAGTCGCACTTCCACACTGCACTACTGGAGCGCAGCGCAGGAAGACAAATAGGATTAAAAGGCACTCGACGTGGTCTTAAGTGTTTTGTGCCGGAGCGCCGGCAAAAAGTGGGTCCGTGAACGACTACCCTCGTCTCGTTCTCCACTCGCGGACGTCTTCTGGTAGCAGTTAGCGGTCGAATAAATACCGACTGCATCATCTCTCTCTCTCTCTCTCTCTCTCTCTCTCTCTCTTTCTCTCTCTGTCTTTCTGTTGGACGCGCGCGACAAACAGCCGGGAAAAAAATGGAACAATAACCCGACCGCGAGACACCGCGACGGCGATTTCTCATGAAAGTTGGAGACGATCGAGAATCGACTCTCTTCTTGACGAGGATTTTATCCCGGCATCTTCGCGCCTTTTTTGAGCCATGAGCGCCTCAAGATTGAAACGTTTCCGCGGCGCACGAAACACAACTCGCCATCGCCTCTTCGCAGTTGTCAGTTGAAAGTA